ACATCTGTTCAAAAGATTTCAATAAGGGTATCAGAAGAAATCTTTGAATGTCAGAAGAATGTCTTTGAATGGCATACCTATTCTAAGGGTTCTGTTGCTTTCTGGCATAAAGCAGAGACTAGAATGTCATTCTCTTGCTGATTTCATGAACAGCATCACTGGCAATGTGAGACGAGTGTCTATTTGTTTCCAGTTTATACAGACATTGCAAACAGCCTTGAAGAGAATGTAGGTTTACACTGCGAAGATTGGTGAACAAGAGCATGTTTTAACAGTTTGAGGCCAATCTTTATTATGTTGGTGGGTTTCCTTAGATGTCTGAGTTTCATGATAATGTGCTCTGGGATTCCTGTGAAGAAAATGCTTTGGAGCTCTTGAATTGAGAAAGACTTGTGAAGAGAAGATAGTGGGCACAGTAATTTTTAATAGCCTGTGCCTCTCAGGGTGTCTGGTGCTTACTAATCTTTCTGATCATCAAGAATTAATTTAAGGCAGAAAGCAACAAGAAGCATAACTGTGGAGTAGCTTCTCTGAGGCATCCTAAATCTCAGAGGGATTTTACTCTATCTCCAAGTACACTAAAATACAACATTGACAGAGATAACAAGAAGGGATAACCAAATTCTAAGAAACCATCTTATTCAGCAGTTGCCTGGAGATACAGGATACAGACCCACCAATCTGAGTTGGTTATTCTAGAAGGGAGAGAACTGCAGCTGGATTCCCAGAGAATTAGGTCATGCTCCCATCTGGCAGGATTTTGGAATTCAAAATTTGAATGGATTTCAGAAACTTAGGGAGCTAAAGTCACAGTTCCAAGGGTTAGGTGGCTGATTTAAGTGTATGGACAACTGCACCTCTGTTCTGATTTGCTAACAAATACTCAAAATTCTTCGTGGCCCACAGCCTAGCACAAATTCCCCTCTTTTCAGTGCACTAGTCTATACATAAGGAAGAAGGAGAACAGGTATCAGTGAGAATGCCAAGATGCATGGGATAAGATGGGATAAAGAGATTTAAAGATGCTAACAATGATGAGTATTCAGTTACTTGCCTAGGAAAGCACCACACTAAGTTGGCTAGTTCACACATAAGCAGGGAGGACTTTCTTGGTGCTGGTCCTGTTTTACCACTCGCCCTTAGTACAAGTGATATTTGGCAATATAATGCCACATTTAGGATAGTTTTTAGGAAAGAAGTAAATATAAGCCAATGAGTACTCCAGTCATTTAAAAGACATATTGCTGCTACAAAGTCAAATATATTGAGCATGCTTCCCCTGTGCAGATTTTATGCCATGACAAGACAGTCTCAAGATTTTAAGTCCATCAAGAGACAGCAAAAGCATGTTAACTCTGAGCAGACATTAAGCACTTTAATAGTAATGAATAACCCATAAAATATACCTAATACTTAGTCAGAAAAAAAGCCCTTGAAACTAAACTAGCACAAATTTTTTTTGTGGTGTAATGTTATATGTGAGGAATCAGACCTAGAATCATAGAATCACTGTATGGTGTGAGTTAGAAGGGACCATGAAGATCATCTACTTCCAACCCCCCTGCCAGGGGCAGGGACACCATCCACTAGACTTGAGCTTGAACACTCCCTGGGATGAAGAGTCCATAATCTCTCTGGCAACCTGTTCCAGTGCCTCACAATTTTTCCCTAACATCTAATCTAAACCTACCCTCCTTCAGCTTGAGACCACTCCCCCTTGTCCTTCTCCCCAGGGCTCATCTCAATCCATTCTCTGCCCAGCCTGTGTTTGTGCTTGGGATTGCCCCAAACCAGGTACAGGACCTTCCACTTGGCCTTGCTGAACCTCATGAAATTCTTGTGGGCCCATCTCTCAAGCCTGTCCAGGTCCCTCTGGATGGCATCCCTTCCCTCCAGCACACTGACCACACCACACAGTTTGCTGTCATCTGCAAACTTGCCGAGATGCACGCAATCCCACTGTCCATGTCTCCAACAAGGACAATAAACAGCACCAGCCCCAACACCAGCCCCTGAGGAACCCCACTCCACCTGCAGATTTACAGCTTGTCACAAAAGCAGGCTTGCAGATTTTGGGGCTACACTGATCTCTTGAATATTAACATTGCACACATACCCTACAGATACTCTTGTTCCTCCATCGAGGAACAGGTTTCAACCCTAAGAAAGATAAACAAAACACTCTGAATTTGTTAGAGAATGCATAACTGTGCTGCAAACAGAATCAGGAAAACACCTGATGGAAAGCAGATATATTCTCTTTCCTTAGGGAGCACAGCAAGATAGATAATGGTCTGTCACACTGAAAGAAAATGGAGATTCTTTCCTATCAAAAGACTAAATCATATTTAGGATACAGTTTACTTTATGGGAGAACTTCTGGCAATAACCATGAAGAAAAGTGGTTTTATTCATCTTGATTACTGTCAGGGATTTTTCCACTGTGTAAACAATAACTCATAGGTATTCAGGCACCCAAAGCTTTGAAACAGCTTTGAGGGAAGACAGCAACTGACTTCACTTGAATCCAAACTCATCATATAAACCTCTTGATAGTTATTATTCTAAGAAGCACATTGCCTGTTTTTGCCTGCATAGACTACAAAGTGCATGAAAAGTACTGAAAGAACTTGAGAAGTTGCTGGGGGAGGGAATGCAAATTTATTCAGACCCTTTTAAAACAGACAAACACTTGTGCTAATCCTAGAGATGTGCTTGTTTTTCTAAACTGTTGCAAATGTTCTCTTAAGATCATAATAAAAATCTAACTTTGAATTTACCTAGCATTACACACATATCACATAAAATTAATACTAGTCTGTACACCCTTTGCAATTTTGACTGTGCTCAGATTAAACCAGACAGGGCTTGCTCAAATGAATATTTTTGGACCATAAAAAGGTACTTTTAAGCCCTTGTTTTCAGTGGGAAACTGTGCTTGCTTTGTTTAAACATCATATATGCCCAGTTTTTAGAATTTGGTCTGAGAAAGCAGAAGAACGCTCATAACACAAAAAAGGCAATTTCTTCCCCAAGGTGATGGTGAAGAACAGCACGGAAGATAGGGATGCCAACACTGTAACACTTCAGTAACAATTAGTCATCACGTCTTAGCAGAACATAATATAATAAAACCTATTTTTCTAGGATTTTTGTTCACCTTTTTTCTTTTTAACAGCATGTACTTTACAATGCCTTTTTAGATCAGATATTATTGGTTTTTTCCTTCCAGATGCTTAGAGGTTAGGAAACAATTTTCTTTCTTTTGATTCCTCTCCTAGGAAAAAAATTCAGCAGCTTGTTAGTTTCCTCAGTGCTCTCTGTATAACAAAAGGCAGCATACATGGAAGCCCTCATTTTTCCTCTTAGCTTTACTGCTCCAGACCTGCAGCTTCTATTAGTCACCTTGGGCAATGAAGATGTTCAGCAGCTCTAAGGATTGAATATAGTCAGACCAAACAAATATCAGACTCTCATACTGGAACAATGGACTTAATAAGGACTGGAGTTCTAGACAGCAGTGACTTTATTATTAAATAAAAATAAATAAAATTATTAAAATATTTCTTACAAGTGAATGAATGCATCAGGAAAGATGTGACTTGTTAGAAAAACATCTTATTTCTCTTTTCTTGAGTGGTCACGTCCACAGGCCCTCATTATATTTTGTAAAGTGCAACAGAGTAAAAGCACATCTCAGTCTAATCACTGTGATTATACAATTTATATAAAAATATTTTTGTTATTCTTATCTTCCATGTGTATCCTCCTCTTTTCTTTTTTCTCCCCTTTTTCTTCTTTAGTGCTATATCTTATTATTTATTTGTTGTCCTTTTCTTCTGTGCACTAGTAGTTAATTATGTTTTACATATACTGGAAAATTCTAATAAAAGCACTAGGATTTAGAAAATAAACTTTTCTCTTTTATAATTGATGGAAAATCTACAAGTTTAATTAGGCAACCCATGGAGATAAATGCATCAACAAATGAATTTCCCACTCATGAATGCAGCACAGCTAACAAGAAACTGCCTAGGAAGTTTTAATTGATTTGGGTATCAAAGCATTTATGCCCAACAGATTTGGGTCAGATAATAGCTTTCCAATAAAAACGCAAGATTACAGACTAAACCCCAGCAGGGCAGCTGATTCTTAAGCACTGGGAAATCTCCCACTGGATTAGAGCACACATATTTTTCTTTCAGAGTGACAGGCAAGCAAGTGCTTGCCAGGAAAATGCCTGAGTGAAGAAGGCGTTGATATAAAAGTGTCATTTGCAGGTAGTCACTACTTAGGCTCTTCTAGGCTGCTCTATAATCTCAGGTCCTGATGACCTGAAGAAGAGGCAGTACAAAGATCCTATTTAGCCTATGCGCCTCTGCCACAGCATATAGCACAGCACATGCCACAGTAGAGATGGCCATGATACACAGAGTGCCCTCATACAATGTGAGAAAGCTTTAAGCACTCACCTGTACAGAGTAACACCATACCCCATCAGAAGGCTTCAGGCATCTGCCCTTCTTGCTCTTTAGCCCAACCTTTTACACCCCTCGTGTTGATGCATTGCACCTGGGTGCCCTCTGCTCCCTTTGGTGGTTGCTCAGTGCCCCTGGGCACTCCATGGCTCATTGCTGTCAGTGCTGCTCACCTGCCCTGCACAGCTGTACCCACTGGGGGTGAGGCTTGGCCCCAGCCCCACTCCCAATTACCACAAACTGTGTACCTACAAACCTCTTGTTTACAGTGCATGTTTTTTTTTTCTGGTTATACTCTGCACCACCTTAATCCAGAAAAGAAAAAAGTGAGCCTAGTCTGAGACTGCTGATACCAGCCACGGATAAAAATTGAGGTTATCTTGAGATTAGAAGTATCAAGAGAAAGGAAACACAAGCATAATAACTTAAAAAGAAGAAATATAAATGTTAAGTAATAATCACATTTATAACTAAGTCAGATGTTCAACATTAATAACTGACATAAGGAAGCAATCATATTTATAAAGGAGATATTTATTTCTGAAGATTCAAAGAGGCATTGCACTTTTTTCTTTTGCATCTGAAAAGCAAACATTGTACTTGAGGAATCAATTAAAAATAAAAGGGTAAAAGGGAGGAAACAGCATTATCAGTTCAGAATCAATTTCCAATTTGTTTCCACTTAAGAACATTACTGGTTCTTCAGAGCAATAACTGCATAGCATCTTGGGGACTTCACAGGATCAAATAACTTCACAAGTCCAGACCAGGCAATGTTTTCCTGAAAATGACATATGATTGTAGTGCATAAAAATTTGTTTGACTTATAAGCTAAAATATTGTAATAAATCCACATTTTGAAATACAAAATTGAAAATAAATAGAATTATGTTAATGCAAAGCAGGAAAACCACTTATAAGGAAATGGGGGGAAGTTTGTTGTGAAAAAAGGACATTTAATTATTTTTGGTGCTATCAAGTGATATCTTCCCACCTCCTTCATCAACAAAGCTTTACTTTTTGGTTGAACTGGAGCAAAGAAATTAAGGATCATGTCATGCTCATTTTATGTTGCACATTCTACTACTGAAGCTAATTAAATGACTTTTCAAATTATTCAGGCTGGCTGGATCAGGTCATCATGCTGCATTTGGCTTTTTTAAGTTTTATTTTTCTTCCTAAACACATTTTGTGAATCAATCAGTACAAGATGAAATCCATGCATATATTACATTTAGAAAAGGTGAATTAGTGCTATATGCAGCAAGTTTGCTTTCCCATCTTGGAAATTACACAGATTTCTAAGCAATTTTTAACTGGTTGCCATTTGGGAAAACACATAATTATTTAGCTATTTCAAATTGCCTCTCTGTAAAAATACCAGTTAGAACAAAGGCATGCATTTACTACAATTCAGTTGTTCCAAGTGTACCATGACAGAGAATAAAGTGAGTTTTCACTTATGATAAAATGGAGCTGTTAAAATGAAAGGTTTATAGGGAAAAACCACAGCTATTCATATGAATGAGTTTAAACTTTATTTCAAAATTTTATTTTGACCATGGCCCAGAACAGAAGCTGGAAGATGCTACCATTTCCTCCTAGGAAATTATTAGTTGTGTGAAAAATGTTTACTGGTGCAGAAAAAGTATTACCAGTGCTTTCAAGTTAACCAGGCCAAGCTTCAAATCAATGTTAGAAGAAATAGTGTAATAATGGAAGTCATCATGGAGTAAATGTAGTAGCATTTGCTTATTACATCCCAGATCTATACTTGTAAAATATATCCAGGCTGTATGTTAGTCAAATGTACCTCAGCTGACCCATACAGTTAGAAAAAGTGCACCCTCTCTCATTATTGATCTTAATTAAGAAACAGTAAAAGGAAGTCATAAACATTTTGGATCTAATTCAAAATTTTTTGAATTCTATGTTCCAAAGCACATTAATTGAAAGTTCAAGTATTAACAGCACAATATTTGCTTAGCATTTCCAAAAATTTTAAATTATTAAATAACTCATTATAGTGTATAAAATGAGATTTGATGCATCTTTGATTAATTTATTTTTACTATCTATTGACTAGTAATTACCATACAATTAAGAGACCATAAACTTTACTGTTGCTGCTTTGTTGAAAATAAAAACATCTGCTGGGCATATGTTTATACTAAATGGAATGAATGCTTATACTTTGCAAATATGATGAGAATAATAATTCTGCAACAGAGACTTTTTGTCTGCACAGTAATAAATTGACTGAAATAGTCTCATTTCAGTGATGTAGCCTTTAGGTATCATAAAAGAGAATGCAAAAATACCTGCTCCTTGAGGTAGCAAAGACGATCCAGGAGTATCAAAACCTCTATGCAAGGAGCCAGAACAACCTTCAACTGAAAGAAAGATTAGATGCTATAATCCTTTTGGGAAAGACAGGCGATACACTTCCAAATGGCTACATTTCCTCACAACAATTCCAGGAAGGTCAATTATTTTTTAGGGGTTCTGTTGTATAAATATCACCTTGCTAGTTTTCCCTATGGGATGGACATCTTCTAAACAGATTATATTAAATATCAAAAATATATGGAATGCCATAAAGTCAGGGAACTATGTTATTTAGTTGTTTTTCAGACACTGTCCAACAAGAAAATAATATTAAATGTAGCAGAACAATTTAAAGAGGGAAATAATGAATTTCAATAAAAAGAGTTTTTTATGAAATAACTGCATGGAGACCAGTCTAGATTTAAAAGGAGACTGACATTCCATTTTCCAGTGCAATAGTCCCTCTTGAAAAAGAATCTACCATGTGTTCACTTTATTACTTTACTTACACCTAATATAGTTCTGGAATAGGACACGCTCCAAAGTATGGAAGGGGGAACTGCTTTGTTTTTTGAGATTACATACCACAGTGTAAGACAGTCCACCTCCACATAAAACTTAATAGGGCTTTGTTCTAGACTAGCACATATATATGCAAGGTAGTAGTATTATTCCCATAACTTTTACCATATTAAATGCTTCAAGCTCATTCATTCTGTGCTTGTACTTTTCATAGTAATCCATTATACAGCTGTCTGGGAGCTGCAAGGGATTAAAAAAGAGATATCAGAGTTACTGTAGTTACTTTTTCAAGGGAACTTTACAATTAAATATTGACACACTACAAAATGAAATCTGTGTTCCATTTTTGAAATTAGCACTTTGCTAATATTTATAATAATTTTCCAATAGCAGTTCCTCAGTTCTTATTTAGAGTAACTGTTCTTCACACAGCATTTCCCACTGACATGAAATACTGAGATATATCTATTATTCAGAAAACTCCAGTCATTCTTAAATGAGAATTACACAGTGAAGTGGAGAGTGGCCAGCACTGCCTCTGTGACTGCAAACTCTGCAATTTGGGGTTGAATTTCATGCACAGACAGTCCAGGAAAAACTCCAGTCATTCTTAAATGAGAATTACACAGTGAAGTGGAGAGTGGCCAGCACTGCCACTCTCTGCAATTGGGGTTGAATTTCATGTACAGACAGTCCAGGGACTTGACCAATCCTTCTCAGCCCTTGCTGGCCAGTGCAGCAGAGCAGATGCTGCAGCTGTGGCCATGACTGCTCTTCACAAAGCATGTTCTCTATAGAGCAGCCAGACCACCACATCTCCTGGCTTTTGAAGGTCATGATGTGTCTGCTCTGCTGACCACAGTCCTGGACACTGAACAACACACTTGAGCTGGCCAAAAAAGTGGGAAGTAGGATTGCAGCATTATTGCTGATGGAGACTGCTGGGAAGAGCAGAGCTGGAAAAGCCTGATGCACTTCTGCAGTACTGGGAGTTTTGCAGTATGGCTGTTCTGTCATGGCTATGGAACAAGGGAGTCCAAACTTAGCAGAAAAGTAACAGCTCTGACAGACATGTAGATGTGGCACTGAGGGACATGGCTTAGTGGAGGACTTGCAGTGCTGAGTTAACAGTTGGAATTGCTGCTCTTAAAAGTATTTTTCAGCCTAAATGATTCTATGATTCTATGACTCAAGACTAGGAAAGCTGAAGTGCTTACTAAATTTTTGCACATTTTATTAGAAGAATAATCTGAGAGCATGTGGCTAATACAGTTGCAAAGAAGTAAAATCTTTGTCTAAAATAGGGAAACAAACCACGATACATTCAAAAAATATGTAAGTTTTCAAATCAGGTGAATATAACAAACTTTATCCTGGGACAGCCAAAAAGGGACTGAAGTGACCTCAGAACTTTTTACTCATTGTCACTGAGAAGTTCTCAAAGATAAGATGTCCGACAGATAGCAGATATATGTCTTTTATTACAGAACAGACAGTTCAGATCCAATGCAGTGAAAAAACTGAACAAATAAAGAATTTAAAACCACTGAAAGATGAGCAAATAAGTAATAATCAACACAAATTCATCAAGGATAAATCACAAGTCAGTCTACTTCACTTGTAAGGAGGATAAAAAGATTTATGACAGAGAAAAACAACTGGTTCTCATATAATTTGATTTTGAAAATATTTTTGATAACATTTCCCATAATAATTTTATAAGCAAATTTAGGAAACAAATTTCAGATTAAAGTACTAAAAAGTCAGTGAAAACTGTTTGAACAACCATAACCCAAGAGTGGTTCCTAATGGGTCTCTGAGCAATTGGAATAACCTGCTAACTGGAGGTCCATTATGGAATGCAGTATTTTCATTAAGAATTCAGACAATAGAACAGAAACCACATTAGCTAAGCCTGCAAATGTGCAACAGGAAGGCATTGCCAGAACTTAAAATAACTTTCAGAAACTGGAGCATTGCTTAGAGAAGAAGTTTGAAATGCTGTGCAGAAAAGCAGAAGGGACTATGCTCAGGCAGAAATAATCAGCTGTTCAGGATGGGGAGCACCAAATGACAGTCTGGAAGACAGAACAGATCATAAGCTGAGTGAGAGTCACAGTTGTGCTACTGCAAAAAAACCCCCAAAACCAATCACCATTCTGTGACATGTATGGGAGAGCAGCCTGCAAAGTGCAGGAAGTAATCCTTCAACTCTGGCAGTGGAAAAGCTCTAGCTGGAATACTGCATCCATTTTTGGGCATCAGATTTCAAAGAAAGAAATTAACTGTCTGAAAAAGGCCTGAGAGGGAAAATAGATCAGAGATCTAGAAAACATGACCTATGAAGAAAGACTCAGAGAACTGGAACTGATCAGGCTAAATGAGACAAAATTGAGAGTGGGGATAATGACAGTTTTTACAAGGCTATCACCAAGAAGTAGAGAACAGTTTGTTCACTGTGTCTGTAGTGGATAGGGCAAGAACTAATGGGCTTGAATTGCAGCGAAAAAAACCCCAAAAACCAAAACAGTCAGCCAAAAACTTGAAGAAACATTTTCTCTTAGAGGTTAATTAAGGACTGGCAAGGTTGTCAGTCTCCATCATAGGATGCTTTCAGAAGATCTGACAAATACTATTTTCAGGAATGATGCATAATTTTAACCCTGCTTTAAAACAAGCGATCAGAAAAAACTTTTGTAGTATTTCATTTATATTTTTTTAATTTAGAAAGTATATTTTCCCAATTGCAAAGGCAAGGCTGAGTAGCTTATCCTGCAGTACTAATGTGGACTAACAATAATTTTTTTGGTCTTATTGCTATTTTATTTCCTGTGAAGCTGTGCAAATATTTTAGAGTTCTTTTTGTTTTTCCCTTCTCCTCTAAACAGTCAAACCAACTAAAATATACTGGTCGTGAAATAAACAAAATAGTTTATTTAACCTCTGGCCTATAAGCTTTTCATTTCAACTGAGTATTAATAGGGTTTTAGTATAATGGATTTTTGAAATTACAGGCTATTTGGAATTAAAATACAAAGATCTATATTTGGAAAAATGTGATCTTAAACCTTTCTGCTTTTGCTTCCTTTATGTTCTCCATTTTTCAAGATGAAGCATTCAAATTAAAAGAAAACAAGCTGTCAAATGTTTGGCAAATACAAAGTGGGTCAAAAATGTCTCTTGCACACTGCCATACTCAACTATGTGCTTTTCCATTCCTTCCCTGCCTATTATGCATTCTGACTGAACACATCCTGCTGTCATGGACAGACTAGGTACTATTCCAAACTGTGCCTCAGATAACAGTTTGGTGAGCAAACCAATTCAATGCAACAGCTCAGCTGGAAAAGAGAGGAAGTGTCCATTGAAAAGCACTGGTAGAGAAGGGCGTGAAAAGGGTAACTGGTAGTTAGCCATGTGGCAAATTTATTGGAAAACAACTAAAATCCAGATAACATTGGCTTTGTCTGAAACTGCAATAGCTTTCCACCTGCCTTCAGTACCTAACATAAACTTCAGCTCTCCTTCCAAGGTGAAGGAGGAGTCGTTTACTCTTGGCATTTTTGAAGAATTGTACTTCCACATGCAAAGCAAGCCCCATTCAGCCACTGAAGCCGTCCAAGTAACTGTTCTCTGTGTTGTCGCTCACTTGTGTATCCAAAAAAAAATTCTTCATATATATATGCCCACTGAACATTTTTCTTACATTTTGATATTGATATTATGAACATGAAAAAACTCAAATATATACATTTCTCTTAATAATGGCTCTGCACTCAAAGATCTAGCTTATGTTACTGACACTGAAGTGACCTTAATTTCATTTTGGCCAGTATTTCCTCCCTGATACAGCTACAATGTCTCCTGGACTTTATCAGGTAACCAACAAAAGGACCTCATCTCTTTGTATTGTGATGGTGGTGTAAGCTTTATTTGGAACTAATTTCTTTGTGGATTGATGTGGTCACTCAAACAGCCAGAACAAGCAAGACAACCTGACAAGGTCTCCAGCCACCTAGTTGTAACAATACCATACAGGTATACCATATATACCATAAATACCATATGGCAGAGATGGCACTAAACATGAGCCATAGGGCTGACTGATCTGTTGTGAACATGGTGAGACTGTCACAGAGCTCTGAGAGCATGTGAGATACCACACACCTGAGCGCACCCACCTTGGACTGCAGTCCCACAGGCACACTGATAGAGCACAGGCTGAAAAGAAAATATTCAGGCACAAGGTGTGGGGCAGTTACTGATACCACACTTCACGTTTCTTCAGAGAGAATTTTTTCAGCACTGTATCCTTTCCTAGACTAAGAGTATTTTCACTGAATCAAAGTCTCTTTTACTGCCCAATGCTGCACATGTCTTCCAGAGAGGAGACAGCCTAAGGATGCTATTCCACAGTCTGTTAGATGCAATTCCTCTTTGCTACCTCAAAGGGACTGCTTCTTCCTGCACACACTGCTTCCTACTGCACAATTCCATGTTTCCTCTCTCTACTTGTACCAGCACTATCAGGAACACTAATGAGAGTACAAGAAAACTATAAGGCAATCCTTGTAGCAGAGCAGTATCTTAGATCAGTTCAAAACATTTGGTGACTGCTTCTTCCTGCACACACTGCTTCCTACTGCACAATTCCATGTTTCCTCTCTCTACTTGTACCAGGAACACTATCAGGAACACTAATGAGAGTACAGGAAAACTGTAAGGCAATCCTTGTAGCAGAGCAGTGTCTTAGATCAGTTCAAAACATTTGGGAGAACATACCTAACAGGAAATTTTACAACTTTTCCATTACTAAGGTAGTTAAAAATAATGTAATGTTATATACTGTAAAATAACGTAAACAGATAATGAAATTACTGAGAGACTTAAGTTTATTTAGAACTTTTTTTAACATGCATTTCAAATGAATGGAATCTATATTATTTATAATTATACCTAACTGAGATACAAGTCACATCTCTTAGGAGTCCTTGTCAGAGTAGAATGCTACCCCAGTACCATAACTGGGGTAGTATTTTGTCTATGTGAAAAACAGTTATGCTTAAAACCAGCATTATGTGCTTACACTTTATAGAGTGCTATGCAAGTGTTACCTGAGTCATCATTTAGTCCTTCCCTAACGAAAAGAGGAAACAGGAAGTCTGTGAGATGAAATGCCTTCTGTCCAAGAAAACAATGAAGAAAGTCAACTAGCAATTGTAAAATGCATTAAGTGTGTA